GGCCAAACCCATTCTCCCCCAATCTCACTAGTGTTTATATACACCAGATACTCACTTTATAACACTAGTACGCTCCTAGAAGCCCAAAACAATCTATACTTTATAGCAGACATTGTTTAATACTGTTACAATTCAAAGAAGCTTTAAACACGAAGCTTGATTTAAAGAAAAATTGTCCAAAATGATGTGATGCTAATGAGTTTTATAATAGAGTTAACTTGCCAAAACAGCATTTCTGTACCTAAAAATTAAGCTGTTCTATACTATGAGAACCTTAAGATAAGATAAAGGATCATAACTTGCCAAACACACCTGTATGAGATACGAATTCAGATATTCAGTACCATCACATCAGCCTTATAATAGCTGTCACTGATGTGTGTCATATCACAAGACTGACTTTCATAAATTAGTACCCATTTTATGATGGAACAATCTGGAACAGTGTAATTGGAGCTTACTAATGTTTTCTGTAAGTTTATGGTGTCCTAGCATCTCCTTTTGAACAAAATTAATCAAATGCATCCAAAAACCCCTAACCCATAAGCACATGAACAAGAAACACATACAAAGCAGTAGAGGGAAAGGCATGAAGAACATTACATAACTCTACAGTAGTGACCGTAACTTTGTTAAAAATGGTAAAAAAATCAATCACATTAAGCCAATCCAATTTTTTTTTTCAAAAGGTAACTGCAATAGTGGATGGTGAGAGGTAAGATGTTGCTTCACTTTTGAGAAAGACCTCTCAGACTGTCTCAGTCTCCCATGACATTCTTATAAGCAAAGTAGAGAAATGGAGATGACATTAGGTTACAATAATGTGGGAGTACCCAGGCTGGAAATCCATATTCCAAGAGCAGTTATCAATAGCTCACTGTCAAACTGGGAGGACATGGTAATGGGGTCTGCCCTGCTCCTAATACCAGTCAATAATCTCATTAATGACCTGGCATAGAAGGTGCAGTAATAAAATTCCAGATGACACTAAGAAGGCAACATAGCTGTTTGGAGGACAGCATGAGAATTTCAAACAATCTTGAAAAACTGTATATATGGTATTAAAAAAAACCCAAACAATCAGCAAAGTACTACACTTGGAAAAAAGAAAATACATGCAAAGAGCAACATGGGCAACAATTATGCTGTTGTAAATATAATGATAAATAAATTTACCGCAACAGGTTAGCTACCAAACCAGAAATAACAACTGCTTCTGAACAAGTATGTGCAAATCTACTCATTCATCAAATTAAAACAGCAACACAAAAGGACAGACAACTTCTGTATTCCGGAACTTAGTCCACGCCCCAAACTAAACTATTTTCCTGTTAAACACCGCCAGGCTATCCATGTTTGGTTTTTATACAGTATTAACAAAAGTAACCAGGATTGTTTGCACTAATAATGTAAATTAAGAAGTTACTAAATGAGTTAATGGTCACGCCTGTCTAGTACTTTAAAGGTGCTAAGTGGTACTCTCACAGAATTGAAATACATTTAATGTTCTTCAGTGCAGAAGATTTAACTTAAAAACACATGGTTAATCATTTAAAGGCAACAGTGCTAAGCTAATTAGTAAATAACAATGCCAGAGTGGTAGCGAGACACTAGCAAACTTCCAAAGGATTTTTAATTTGCACTGCTTAAATAAATGGATAGGGGAGAACTAGGAAATTAAATTTTATGCAACATATCATCTCTTGAAATCAAAATTTGAAAAGTTAAACCAAAGGTTATACTACAGTGCAGCATTAGTTTCCTGCTTTGATCATCGATCCAAGGCTTTCACAGGATATTGACAAAGATTGGTTGTGACCACACATATGCTTTAGCTTTCTCTGTTTAAGTGATACCAGCCAACAAGAGTTGCTTCCAAAGCTAGCTCATGTTAGTCCTCCTTGTAAGATATGATGCCTCCAACTAAGATTAACAATAATCTTAGGACAGCAAGCATCAATAACTGCATTCATTCTCTTCACACGAGAAGCAAAGAGAAATCATTTCCTGTAATCAGCTCAATGGTTCTAAAAATTCATAATTTTTTCAGCTGGAATAGGAATAAACCCTTCTTTTTTCCTTTGTGCCCCCTACTCCCCATGCATCAAGATATAATACCATTCACTTTGACCTACCACTTTCAAGGTCTTAAAAGCGGCTTCCCAAATCCTTTGCATTTCTATAAATCAATGCATTAAGCTGGTAGGTTTTCATCAGTTGTAGAAGTATCAACAGGAATCCAGAGAGCTTATGGTCAAAAAAACCTAATATTATTTAATCAGCCACAATAGCCAACTACATTTATGTCCTCAGCCCATCAGAAACACAAGATAAAGCTTAATACCCCTTCACTTGTTGAGAAATAAATGTTTTCTACCCTGTGTTTGCCATGGATTGAATGGAATGGACAGTCAGATACCACAGCAAAGTCATTTCCATGTCCATCTATACCTACATTTTCAAAAGATTTCTCCCTCAAGTCATTCAATCTATCTCAAGTCCTTAACTAACTAGTGACTCCCCTGAAATCATTTTTGTTCCCCAGATCTCACAAACACATCTTTTATAGCTCAAATAATTTTCTTGTTCACAAGGCTACTCCCAGAGTGAATCTACTGTTGAACACAAACAAGCTCTACGTTGTCTTTAAAACGGCCAAGTGTTTTTTGCACTTAAGTAAGTGGCAGCCTCCCCATCACACCTAGAATTGCATTCATCTTTGAAGGAGTCATCTGCTTCAGAACAAATACACAAGAAAAATTAAAAGTCGAAATAAAAAAAAAGGATTAATATTTCAAATGAAGCTTGAACTTAGCCAATTACTTTTGTCAGAATACGCATCCACAGAAGGTTACTCACCTTTTGTTATACCACAATATTACTAATTCACATGCATTAGTGATGTACTACAATCCTACATCTTTTTTTTGCACAGCAGATTGTTCCTTGTGTTATATTTGTAGCTAACCGTATGAAAATCTGCATGAAAATTAAATTTCTCACTTTTCCCTAATAAGCTTCATCTAACGCTTTTCTCAAATCATTCTTCCCTTCTGCAAGAAGTGCTTCCAATTCCACTACACTTCCACTACCTTCCAATCCAATATCAATGGAAATTGAGGCCTAACCTGTTATTATCAAGAAGAATTCCACTCAACACATCTTTCAATTTTAGTAATCAACCACTGGTAACTATTCTCCAAATACAGCAGATTCTTTTAGATCAAGTTTTCCCAGCTCACTCATAAGACAATGTCAAAAATTAAGATCATCATCTGCTTCTTCTCTGTTTATAAGGTCTGTTACCTTTTCTCATCAGAAACTGTGATTGCTTTGACATAATCTCTTCTTGATAAATATGTGTTTCATTTGCTTGTCTCCTTGTTATCTTCCTGGTACTTAAACATAGTCTGACTATTTGCATAAGTATTTTTCTGTGAATTGTAGTTAAACTCACCTCATAATTTCTTGGCTCTCTTTTTCTTCCTTTTTAAAAACTAAATACTTCATTTGTCCACCACAGCTACCTTTCTCCTCCTCCATTTCTCAAAAAAAACCATTCACTCTGAAATTTTGCCTGTCAGTCTTGTAGGTACAAGAGAATGAAGTTCATAATGACCAGTCAATTTGAAAAAACCTAACATGTTTGTATTTTCTAAACTATTCTTTCCCAATTTGATATAGACGTTCTATCTTTTTATAAGTGGTATTAATTCCACTAGTCACTGATTGCCATTGATTCTTTTGGTGGGGACTCACAGATGCAAGAAAGACATTACTTTTTCAGCACTATCAGTTGGCAATTTTCTCATTCCGTTAATCTGCAGATCAACCCTTTCCTTAATTGTCTCTGCACTATGCATATAGTTATAGAATGATTTCATGTTACTTCTGTCTCTTGCTAGTTGCATGACACTCTTGAGTTAGCCTCTGATTTTCTTTACTATACTTTTCCATTCTTCCTTCCATTAAAAAAACAATTCTGATATTACTCCTTCTTCTTGGATTTGAGGTCAACAAAGCTTTCCCGCCATTGCCAGCATCCTTGTCTCCTTTGTTCTTCTCCCCAGTTCAAAATATTCCTCAGATCCCAGACTCTATTTGTTTACCTCATTCCTTCCTTCAGTGGCTACCTACCTAAACCTCTGCCCTTGGAATTTCTGTGCTCCTGCCTTAGCTCCTTGACCCACTGAATTCTAGGTCTCTTTCTATACAGTGACTAATTACCAGATTAATTTATCTTCTATTCCCACCTACTTCTTGTTCACTCACCCGTTCCCAGGCCCAGTGCCCCTGTTAGGATAAGTTCAATATCATGCTAAATTCTATGTTTCATCTTAGCATCCTCAGACACTGGCTTTCTGTAGCCCTTTGTTTCTCTACCCAGTGTACAGTCTTTCTGGAGACAGCTTCCAGATCTCCCTCTCAGCTCTTTATCTCCTATCTACTTAATCCTCATCATAAGACTAGTTTTTGCCCATTCTGCACCTATATTAGCACAGCCTCCCCCTCCTGTTTGCCATAGTCAAACAAGGAAATAGGCCACTGCAGAAATTGCCCCAAAATAGAGCCAAAATTACATAAAGTAATATGAATATTAACTGCAACATTCTCATCTGAGCGGGGCAGAAGCATGAACAGAGTATTTATGAAACTTAGTGGTTAAAAATCTATACCAGTTTCTACCGGCTTTTCAAAGGCTTAAAACCTGTGCAGAGGAACAAAAAGACAGTGAAACACATCTGTAGCACAAAGGCCAATTTTGCCTTATTTCAGTCTCGGGGCTAAAAATGTTTGCTAAAGTTTTACAAAAGAACTCACTAAAATATTCTAACAGAAGTAAAACCATGTGTCATCTCCCTTGCATCTTTTCCCAAATGGTAGGATAGCTCCCAATCTTCTTCCTTCCCTTTTTCATAACCTGTGGTCCTATGATCATAGCTACAAATAAAGGCAGATGCAGTATAAAATACGTTAACACCTTTCAGGAAAGTTTTTACCTTGATATCAGAAGTGTCACGCTGACTATTGCGCCACGCTCTTGAAATAGAAGAAAAAGTTCTATCTGCATGATCAAACTTCCCACCTTGTAGATTCAGGAAAAGTGTTGTAAAGGGTTCCTAAATATATATAAAAAGATTCATTAAAACCAGCAATGTATTTCTTTAGGAATTTCAGGGGAAAAAAGGGTTTTACTATTCTTTTGAGGTTTGGTTATTAATGATGCTATTCTTCTGGCAGACACATGAGTAATTGCAAAGGGTTAATTCTATTATCCAAGAATGAGAAGTACAAACTGATGCTTATTTGTTCAATAAATGCTTTTTATTCCTACTCCATGCATACGTATTCAGATAAAGGAAAGCAAATAAAACCAAAAGAAAATATTTACAGGCTGGAGGAGAAGCTACAGTCAGTTGTGACACAAATTGCTCTCAAAAACATGAAAAAGCTCAGTATTTTTACCTTATATATTTTTTAAACTAGCATGTAACAAAAATAACACATACATTTTATTTTGTTCAAGGTCATCTATTAATATAAAGGGTAGCATTCAATACCGATAGCTTTATGATTGTTATTGTTTAATATGTAATTTATGATTTAGAAAAGAAAAATGTTTGAAAGATTTAAAAGCCTCCTCTTAGTTAAAGAACACTTAAGCACATATTAGTGGATAATTGCTTGAAATTAGCTAAGCACTATAAATTACTTCAAGGATTTATGTATGCCTGTACATTCTAACAAGCTTTAATTAATGATGTGCTGCTAATGCTTTCCCAAAGAAATTACTTTCTAGGAGATAAATCGCCTTTCAATTTTATAGAAAAATGCATTGTTTAATCAATATATTATCAATATGTAGCATCTCAAAAGTTACTTCCATATAAATTGCAGCAGATTTTAAAAAATTAATTATTTACATCTTTTCATGATCATCACAAAACCAACTCATTTACACTCATTAGGAGGTGAAAATTAAATACATTCAGTAAGAATCACAAATGTTCAGTGGTTGGTCCAATCAGTACAGTACAGTACATGGACCAGTCAGAAAATATGCAAGGAAGGAAAGTTAACCATGTTTAAAGTAGTATAAGAATGTACACTAAAAAGCAATTTTAAAGGAGAAAAGGCTTTACTTTGAAAAGGTTGTACTATAAAAATTAAAACCTTCTGCTCAAACTTTGGAATACATTTACCTACACTACTGATTATAATTACTAGAAAATTTCAGTACTCTCTTATGCCATTGAGTTTTAGTTTATTCATTCCTAGCTATTTGTTGTTTTCATTATCATTTAAAGGAAAAGCATTTTTAAAAGATATACTTACAATTCTTAATAACCACGTGAGTGCAAAACTTGCAGTTGAATAATGTGTGCCATAGTGAAATTTTGGAACCTGATCATCTTCCCATGATTCATATCTCTCGGCAAAGAACGCTGCTCTCTTTGGGTTCAAAGCTCCAATAGGCTACAAGGTTTGTAAAAATAAATACATTAATTAAATAAAGATAACACGACCTATTATCACATCATACTCCCCTTGCTCTTTTTGGTAACCAGAATTATCGGCATGCACAGAGAAGACCGGGTTTGGTGTTTCGCAAAAGCAGATGTTGGATTCTGTAAGCACCTGAACAGATCGTGTATTTCAAACCGGGATTCCATGCACATGCACATGGCTGGTTGGAAAAAAGTCTCTTCTGCATTCATATAGCCTTCATTTCTACTTACTGCTGATTCAAGTCAATGACTAAAGACCACTTCACAGTGGAATGTCTTGGACAAAGGGTTGTTAACTTGTGTGCCTGTGGATATGTGTGCATGTTGAGTAGACTATTAAGCAAATGGTAAGCAACAATGAGAAACATCTTTGGATATTTTTGGGGGGAAAAAATAGTGACCGATAGGGTAGAAGAATATTAACAGTGCACTCAGAATTTTGATATTACCATTCTTGTTTCTATGCTTTCTATTTACCACCCCAAGACAAGTTTTACTCAATGGATAAAACTTGAAACTTTGAAATAGACAAATAAAATAGCAGAATTTCTATATAAAAACATCGATATAAAAGAAAGAAATAACGTATGTATGACTAAAAAAATCTATCACACTTTCACCAACATTGTTATTCTTTGTTCAGCACTTACCTAGGACATAAACACCCAGGGATTTGTTTAAATGTAAGAAATATAATATTTTTTTCTCTATAGCTGTGTATTTCTTCAGCAGACTTTTACATAAGGATTTGGAAAACTGAGTATACGTCACATAAATCACTGAGAAACCCAAAAGTGAACTTAGCCATTCCACATGTAAAATGCTGTAGGAAGTCTAAAATATCTTTGTATATACATGCAAAACATATAAGCAATACAATTTTGTATACATACTGAGCACACTGTATGTTATTAATGTAAATGATGCCCATCTGTACAGACAATGGATGCATTCAAGTATAATTGAAGAATAAACACGCAAAAGTATTTTCTTCTTTCTGTTCTGCAAGAATAAATATACTTAAGAATACACTACAAGGTAAGGAAAAACTTTAAAACAAAAGTCCTTGAATAAAAGTATCAGTAACCTAGTCATTAATTCAAGCATAGTTCAAGTGAAAAACTATGTCTGCTATTCAGATTATTAATATTCAAATAACTGCTTCTTTGCAGCTCAGGTGAAATTTGGCATACAAGCTTCAAAGTATTTTCTCTTCTAGGATAGATTGGATCTATGAATGACCTAAGATCTAATCTTACATTTTTTACTTAGAGCGGCTTTCACATTGCAGTAGTATAAAGAAAACATCTTAGGTTAATTACTATTTTTGCAGTCCACTAATTTGAAATATAACCCTTTAAAAGAAGTGGCTCCTGTATAAAAGGATTTTTATCTGATTTAGCAAATTTATTCCAGGGAAGAATGAAACTGACTCCAAGAAGTCTCTTTGTTGCAAGAACCATTTTGGAATCTCCATCTGTACTGATTTTCCCTAAAGACTCAGCTATGCTTGAGGGAAAAAAGAAGGAAGAAGGTCATTGGTAGACAAATTATATAAATTAAAAATAGAAACAGTGTTGTGCTGTATGGTTCTGTAACACTTTATGTATTCTCTTTATCTGGCCCTATTTTTATTACTCTCCAAATGAGTATAGCGCAAATCAATAGTTATAGAATTACATTCCTTGAATATAAAGCTAAACCCAATTAGAATTGATTTCATTCTCCTAAAAAAAAAAAAAAAATTGTATCATGCAGAGATCCATATAGCCAGAATCCACAGTATTGATTTTGGCTGTTATTGTTACAGTTGGTTTCTGAAGCCTGCAACAGGACAACTATCAAGACATGTCACATTTATTTGCAAGCAAATAAAAAAAGTCCCCAAATGAAAGAAAGCTTAGGGAAAAAAAAGAACCATGGAGCTGTGCACTGACAATGATACACTATCAGCTTACTCAGAGAAGTTACAGTGGGAATACACACATTGAATTATACATTACACGAATGCACTGATTTATTGTGGTAATAACATCCACCTCATTAAAAGATTCTGCTTTGCTGCAGTTGGAGGGCTACATATTGTTTACTGCTATAAATTAATGGCAGCGCACAGAAGACTGTAGAACCCTTCTAACAATAGATCTGTAATGACAGTGCTGTATATCACAGCTTCCCCAGCAGCTTCATAATAAAATGGAGACAATGTATTGGGCTAATACATTCTACCAGGCAGGCCCATATTTTTCTGACAACTGCTTCTAGGATGAGGTGATTCTAGTGTGTTACACCGCACTGTGAACAGTTAACTAAGCTTGAGCTACAGAATAAAGCACTTACAAGGTATATTCCGAGCTACAGAATAAAGCACATACAAGGTATATTCCAATACCCTCTGACATTTAATTTAGTAAACAAATTAATTGAAATTTTGTAATTATTTAATATTTCAAAATTAACAGGGAATCATGGTTACACACTGGATTCCCTCCCCTGTGTGTAAACGCCAAGGGAAAAAGAGTAACTCCAAACTAAGCTATGCTAGATGCAGCTGAGACACCACAAATTTACACTACTCAATATGATTTCCCTACGGCTACAGACCACTAAGGAAGAACAAGCTGAAAAGCTTTCATATCCAGAAATTCCAGAATATATTTTCTTTGCAGTACCTCTTTTCAGAGAGGAAAATTAGGTAGTTGTTCACCAATTAAAAATACTTACTTAGATGGCGGGGAAAAAAAGAAAAGTAAAATTCCAACAAGAAAAACAATGGATGAGATTGCAGGAGTCAAGACAAAAAAAGAAATCGCTTATGGCTGCTAAGTTTTCAAACTGTATTGAAAAATGAATAATGCATATGGTTTTCAAGTCAGAGTTCATTCAAAAAAGGGTCCAAACTGGAGGAAGAACGAGGGCAAGGAAGTTTTCATTTTCTTTTTTCCAAAGGCACGATCACCTGATTTTTGACCTGAAGTGGTTGTCATAACAACATGAGCTACAAATATGAAAGTTACAAGCTAGTCTTAAAAAAAACCACAGTCATTTGATATTAATTTTTCAAGTGGTCTCAAATCTAGGAATACCTCAAAATAAACAAACCTCACATTTTGACCATCGTATAGTAAATACAGTAAATATTGAATATAGTAAATCTCAGTCTTTGGACCAAGCTTGCTTGCTTGCTTTGAGACACAACAAAGAAAAATGGTTTGTTGAAAAATAACTGAGAAAACACACTGACTCTTACCATCTACTGCTGTTAAATATGTCCAGACACTATAGTGTACAGTTATATTTGTTGGTTCTTAATCTTACTCTGTGCCAGACATTAGAACAGTGGCCCATCTTGCCTCCATTTTCAGAAGAGGCCCTGTTGCACCCAACAGAAGACAGCAGAATGCTCACTGCTCCTCTACATACGGCAGACTCTCTCCCGGATTCTGTCGCTCATGTTCAAGAATACATACATTTTGGAAAATTGCTAATGACCTAACATAAGCAGACTGAAGTCTTATAAAGAAAGAATTACAATATGTTTGTTTATAGTTACACATTTAAGAAGAAAAAGAGGTGCTTTTTATTCCTGTCTAATGTGTTTTCATTTTTTAAATAGTGTTACTCCCAATAAACAGACATACCCTGTTCTTACCCATGCTGCCTTTTGTTATTGGCTTTTACACAGGCTTCTGTTATTAAAACAAACATTGCCACTTCTACTGTCTCCTAACCATTGTAATACTCGGAAGAGTTTTTAACTCATTAATATTCAAAATCCATGAAAGACTAGAGTACTATGGCAGTAAATTGCATTTAATTACTGCAAACAGTAAGTAGTCAAGACACCATAGTTTCATCTTCACTGTTAACTGTTACCACTTTTGGTGAAGACGGCAATCTTAACAATTACTACTGGAAATCAGGAGATCTGTGCAAGTGCCTATGAATTCTGAAAAGTAGGCAGTTCCTGAAATGAAGTCCATGCTGACCAGTGCAAACAGAAAGATTTAAAAATTAATGAGAATATTATTCTTTGAAATTTGTATTTCAAAACTTCTTCACCATGAAAAAATGAAAAAAAGGAAAGAAAGAAAATTTAAAAAAAAAGAAAAAAGAGAAAAAGAAAAAATGGGGAAAAAAAGAAAAAATGCTTTTCCCTGGGATTTCTTATACTGTTTTCTCACCCACATCCAACCAGGTATTTGGATTCCTGTGAATACAATTGTCAGTATCATTGAATTATGTTTTGTAGCATCCTTGCCAAGTATGATGTTTGTTTTTCATACATTTTATTTTCAAGATGACTATCTGGTTTTCATTACTGGTATTTTTCATATATTCATTGGGCTTAAAGGACCAGGGGGACTATTAGGTCATCTCATCTAGCCTTGTGTTTGCATGGCAAGCCATTAAATGCCTTTCCATTACATGATTTTGAGCCCAACTGTTTATATTTGATTATAGCGTGAGCTGTATTTGGCCAACGTGCTTTCCAGAAAGGCATCTGACTCTTGAGTACATGGACAATCTGCTATTTTTCTTGGAAGCTTTTTCTATTGATAATTGTGATCCTCATTCTAAAAAACACGTACTCCAGTTCGGCTATGAATTTATTGGTGTGTTAGCAAGGAAATCTCATTACGCTTCTCTCTGACATATCACAGAGTCTCTACTTACCCAGCATTTTCTGTATATAAAGATATTTATAGACTATAATTATACGTTTTAATAAACAAAAGAAATTGAGCTCTTCAGGTCTTCCATTTTAAGGCATTTCTTCCAGCCTTAAGATTTCTCTGCAGCCTGCCTACTTATCAATGTGTTCTAATATACAGATATCTGAAGTGTGTTCAGTGTTAGTCTTCTCACTGTTGTAAACACGTCAAGTGCTGTATACTCTGCTGCAATCTAATCACAACTGCATTTTTAGAGGATTGCTTGTTTAGTTACTTTATGTATTACCAACAT